CACACACACACACACACACACACACACACACACACACACACACACACCATACAATTCAGCATTTTATTTCTGGATTCAGTGCCCAGAACATGTGGAGGAGAGGACATATCTCACATGATTACAGTGTTGGATGAGGAAATACTGGTCTGAAAACTTCAGTGGGTGTGTTAGAATCTTCATTCTCACCCTCTTTAAAAGCAGCGGTGCCCGACATGAGAGTCCGAACCCCGCAGACCTCAGACGGCTCCATTGGCAGTTAATTAAAAGCAACAGAAGGCCCTCATATGCCATTCACACAGTGGTGGATGAGAGATGGTCCTTAAGAAGACATTCATCTTAACTCTGTTCCCCTGGCATTAGCACCGTTATTATTAGTCTTCTGTATATTATTCTTCTTCTTTCAATTTGCATAATGAAATATGTTTAATTTAATTAGACACTGAAATGAACTCTCTCTCTCTCTCTCTCTATATATATATATATATATATATATATATATATATATATACTGCAGTTGTTCTCACCTCAGCCTGGAAGCCTTCTACCAAGATGGCCACGAGTAAATTGAAGAGCACATAGTTGCCGAAAGTCATGAGAGCAACAAAGTAGAGAGCCGCCCATGGAGAGGTGGAGGCCATGCCGTTATACAACACCACATTCCAGTCCTCCTGGGTAAGAATCTATCATTTGAATGAAACACAAAGCAAGGTTCACAGATGTGTAGTTAACAAAACCAGTAAAAAATAATAAGGGTCCACAGACACAAAGACGTGGAAGAGGAAGGAAAAGAGAGTCAAATGGAGCAATGTCAGCCTATACAGCCCTTGTGGGTTTGATATACTTTATAAAACTCAGTGTTTTGCTACTTATCTTGCCATCATGCCGCAATGCTTCAACGTCATACACAAGGGTTTTACCACAAAGTGTGCGTGGGCGTGTGTGTGTCTGCGTGCACCTGTGTCAGAATCAATGTGAGTGATGAAAGCATCTAAAAGTAGGACGGTGTGCATGATGCAGCATGGAAGCTCGCTCCATCTCTGCCCACTCATTAAACGCTGTGGTAGGGAGGCAAGTCCCTGCGCGGATGTGTGTATGTACTTGTGCATGTGTGTGTGTGTGGTTGTGCTGCGGCTACTCCCCAGAATACTACGGCAAGTATATAGCAAGCGTAACGCCTTCACATGACTGTTCGTTCTGGATAAATTGCCTTTTCAGCATCCTACTCCTACTCCTACACACACACACACACACACACACACACACCAAAGTGAGAGTCCACTGCATTCTGTGTTCCACCTTTCTGCTGACGCATCCAGTATAGAAAAGAGGACAATCTATCTGGAGCGATTGAACAATATCTCCACACAGGGAGAGAAAGAAATAGAAACGATAGTGAGAAAGGGTGTGCATAAGCAGAATCCCTCATTTCACAGCGTTTGACTAATGAGCACAACTTGCCAGTTGAATTTGGCATGCATGCACACGCACACACACACACACACACACACACACACACACACACAAAAACTCTCGGCTCAGTTTGACATTTTGATTTGAGACGGCCAAAAAATACACATGGCCTGTGTTGCGATAAAAATACACAGGCTAACACACTACCCGGTTTATCCCGGACAACTACCCCCTACAGTACCGAGGATGTGATGCTACAGATGACATTTCTTCTTCTTACTGTCATACATGGGCTCTCTCTGAGCCAGTAAGGAGCGCGCTGGATCTCTGCTTCTGACTGGAAGCCAGTCTGTCTCGCTGCAGAAATGTCTCTAGATGATGCATGCACGCCTACCAGCCTGTAGTTCAGCTGTATGGGTCTTTGTACTGCGAGTTCAAGGATGTCCATAGCCAACTTGCGAAAAACATTCTTACAAGCTGTCAGCTTTAACAATGTTATTTTTATGTGACGAGTAATAAGACACTTTTGAATCACATGATAATACATGAGAATAGCCGAGTAACTCCCCAGGTTTTGGCATATCAATATGACGAAGGCAAATCTAAGCAAGAAACAGTCGCTCTTTGGATTAGAGCCAGCAGACCCTGCAGCACAGGAGCATAATGTCAAGTGAGAACTAACCTGGAATACAGTGACGATGGCCCAGAGCAGAGAGTCAAAGTTCTTGCGGTCGGGGATAGTGTCTCCGTCCTCCGTCTGGAGGCTGAATTTACAGCCGAACAGATGCATACCCAGTATACTGTAGAAGACAAGTAAATGCAGTCATCCTATGGGTGTTATGATAATACAAAGGGAGAATATAAGCATTCTGAAATAGTTGGATTGGGAAGATGGGTTTGTGTGCGTGCGTACCTGAAGGTGAAGATGAAAAGCATCAGCAGCATGCAGAACGTGGCCACATTGTCCATGGTCTTCATCAGCACCACCAGTTGTCTCCTCAGGGCAGGCAGGAAGCGAACCAGCTTCAGAACCCGCAGCAGACGAAACGTTCGCAGGACTGACAACCCGCCGTCTGCTTGACCGATTATCTCCCACACACTGAGAACCGCACACAGACACATTTGTGTAAAAAGACTATTGGGCGACTTCAAATTTGGAGATTGTATTTGGTCACTTCAGCCTAAGTTAACAATGTATGTGAGCATAAATTTGAAAAATAAAAATACTACAATATGCTAATTATTATCTCCGCCATGAGAATCATGCGATCGGTCACAAGCGTGCGTATGTGCACCTCTGTGTCTGTAATCGGCAATATGTCTTTGGTCTCCTGGTTATGGCTGCGTGTGGACTTCTCAGGGTTATGGTGACTCACACTTTCTCAAAACACCTTTTATTGCCCGTTTCGTACTGCCATTGATCGCCCGCTGACTCCTCACACATCACTACTAACCTGCCCCCAGTTGGTAGGGGCCACAAGTGATAACACAGCTGAGTGCATCGCCGGCCCCCCAGCACACCGCTGAAGGAACTACCGGTACACTCACTGTTGTGACTAAAAGTTTTAATGTGTTTTGAAGGAGCTGCATGCCAAGGACCATGTCAGTGGTTTGCATGATAACCTACTGAATATCATGTGTACTTTTTACTGATCTTTTTTGAAAGCATGCTACAAGTTTGTAATTTTCAATCTATCATCACCGACACTCAGCAGCGAGCAGAAAGCAGAAATAAAGGTGGGTGTAATGGCAAGATTGGCAAGATTGTATGAAGTGTAAAAAACGACCACTTCGAGCCGATTGCCTGCATACATCGCCTCTTGTTTTTGAGTATGAGTGAAGTGTGTTTTACGAGGCCTTAAGCTTAAACAGGGGTAACTGTCATTGACCAGACACACCTGATGGAGATCTGCACTCTACTGAGCGCATCCATCTAGTTATGAACGTAAATCCCCGTCAGTATTACAAGTAACCCAACCGCACATATCAAAAGGTTTCCTGATCCAATATGAGCTCGTTCAAACGAAATGACAGCCACACAGCACACCTCAACTCTTGACAGCGGCAACAAGCAAAGCAGCTCCTGTGTGATCCATCACCAGAGTGTCACTGTTAGCTATTGTAAAGATGGATGCTGCGGCAGTGAACCTGGCACTCGAGACCCAATGACTGACAAGCTGGAGAAGGAATAAGAACCGGGGGGCGGCTTTAGATCCGAGCAAATTTATCTGAAATCTACATTGACTGGAGCCATTGTTTCAGTGTCTTTGCCTTTTGTTTTTGATGTCGTATATTAGATTACCTGATGATCACAATGATGCTGTCGAAGATGTTGTATGGGTTCTTGATGTATCCAAACAGGCCAAAAGCCAGCAGCATGAAGCCCATCTCCAGCACAAACATACTGGTGAAAACGATGTTACTGATCTCCAACACATCAGTCAGCTCCTCGGGCTGGGGGGGGGGGGGGGGAGACGAAGGAAAGAAAAGGGAAGCGAGAAAGAAGATGTTAGTTAATATCTCCACTCTATTATCCCTGAGCTGTAAATCCCACATGCTGAGACATTATCAATCAAGTTCAGAGCTGCAGTCATGCCCAATCAATCAAAAAGGTACCAACCGCACCGATCCATCACCGCTGATCTACTCCACTTACCTCGCAGTGCAGTCAGTGATCCAGCAAGATGTAACTGAGGCCCTCTCATAAAGCATTTAGTCAAACCTCTAATGGAAAACACAGCGATTCTGTGCTCTGGTGAACGCATCATGAGGCCGCTTCCTCAACTTTTCTTTTTAGAAAGGTTTTGCTGGAGCCGCATCAGTGAACTGAATGTGCTGCTTTGGATTAGATGTCTTGACTTGGGTTCTATTTCCTTCACATGTTAACATCCATCCGTCCTAAACTGAGACTTTTGGGCTATTTCAGGCATCTCACTGTGGCCCACCAGAGTTCATGTGGTGTGTTCCTCACATGGACACATGAATCAAAGCATTACATGATCCAGCAAGTGTTTGTCTACAAGAAAAGAGATCAACAATAACTTATCGTTACAATGATTTCTTGTTATAAGACTTTCTTCAATGTTTTGTGCAGTCCTGATATTCACAAACAAACAATAATTATGATCCCAAGATGCCTGAATCACTCTAAATTATAGATTCATATACTCTATAGTGAGTCTCATAATTTGTAAAGCCCTTCAGCTTGTGATCCAGAATTATATTTTCATATCACGCATGGCAGTCTCGTTAAAACTAATTGTGATTCTTTTCATGTGGGGGGGGGATCAACAAGCAAGAGGCCCAAAGCCCATTTTGTGTCCCGGCCCAGGGCGAATAAAATCAGGCAGACCACATTCTGGACTAATGGACGCACTCGCAAGATAAATGTATAAAATCCCAGACGTCCAGCCACCACAGCGGAGAGTGGTTAACCTTCAGCCTGGGTTATTCTACACTATCAGCACCCTGCAGACACATCCAGCGATGGCTTTGTGTTCACGTTATGCATTTAAATATGATGGATGGAGCTGGAATCAAGGAGACGAATGAGGGTTTCACCCCCACACAAGTCCATTATGTGACGCGTGTGAGTCTAAACATTATCTTCATTATTCTGAATAAAAATAAAAACATCCGTATTTATGATTATGATTAAATGTGATATTTATGTTAATTCCGTCAAGTAGCAGAATCAAAAACTTACAACACTAAAAACAGATAAATAAATCTACATTCTGATTAAAAAGACAACTTTTACAACCAATACAACCCACTGATGCTTGTGCTGAAGTACCACTGAGGATCTTGGTCACAGATAGAGGGCGCCATACTACACGGCGTGTGTGTGTGTGTGTGTGTGTGTGTCTGGGTCATGCCAACCTACTGAGCGATTCATTCCATCACAGCACTATTGTGATGGCAGTGGAAAGCTCACTGACGGTATGCACTGGGTTGCTGTATGTGGAGTCCACCTCCAGTGCAGTACAGGGTTGCGTAATCCAAAGCACACACATCTCTGTTTCTGTATTGTTTATATTTCCGGCTGATGAGCTATTGAGTTAATTGGGACAGTCGTGAGGTTTGAAAAAGCAGAAATGCCTGTGCAAAAAAAAAATGAATGTCAGGGGACCAGAGTACCACTTCTGGTGTCCTGCATGGTGAAGAAAACAACGGCATATTTATGTATTATTTAAATAAAGCTGGGAAGACAATAGAGAGACCAGCTGTTTGCTGTTTGTTCAAATTGTCATTCACTGACCAGCCACAACATAAGACGAGGAAAGCACTCGAACAAAGCTTTAAAAGTCTCAGTCAGCGACTCTATCTCAAGCGGTCACAATACCACACTCCCATGCATTCCTATTTAACACTGGACTAGTGGCATTTTCATTGCCTTTGTGGCCCTCACACCAGAGAAATGAAAGAGCATACTGCTGAATAGCAGGGCAATCATTTCCATATGCTGCACAGCAGTTTATATGCCTGCTGGGATTACAAAGGTATATTTTACTAGCTGCTTAACGGTGAGTGGAGAGGCTTGTGATGGCTGATTAAAAATACAAAAGATACAGCCTCAAGCAGCAAAAACTGTGAGCTTCTAGAGCTTGATATGACCTCGACGAGCGCTCAGAAACACCACATGCATGCACCACTACATTGTTGGGAAGTAGGACTTGGCCACACGGGGATTTGAACCCTAGACCTTTGTATTCCCATATTTTGTATTTATTCTTTTGTATTCGTGGTGCCCCCTAGTGGCAGAATATCCCAGGACCACGTAGCAAAGAACATCAAAAGACCTGCAGTCT